CTGATGTAGTTTGGTAGAGAACGGTGGAATACAGGACTTGCGTATTCCAAGACGGGCCTAATACATGTCACATAGAATTGCACAAGTTCGCTTGGTGCAACTCCGGATCTCTTGAGTTGTCTCAAAAAGTAGAGACGAGAGGAACATTTTCTACTTAGTTCCGAGGTGTGCATGTTCCACTTTAAATCGTGGCTAATGGTCACGCCTAGCAATTTGGCACTGGTGACTACTTCAAGGGGTTTGAGGAAACACTAGAATCAAAGAGTCCAGAGAAATTAGACAGCTATCACGAAAAAGGTCAAGTACCATTTGAAAAGATTTAACCTATTAAACAATATCATTAGATAACTAACTTTTCCAGACTTCTTGGCTGGCAGTGCTAGGAATATGTTGACGCTATATTACAAAAACCAGCCGCGTTGTGGGATTCAAACACCGCAATCTTAAGTTCCGTTTTACAACCCTGCCACTTACCTGTGACGTGAAAAATTTCAATTTTTAATCATTTTTTGGGGATTAATTAGGTAATTAGGTTGACTATTAAATACACGACCACATCGGCTCCGCTGTAGTTTTCACCGTGTTTAAATAAATGTTGTTGTTAGGGACCTGTTCGAACAAGTAGGAGTTACACAAAATGATGTCCATTACCAAAACAATGTTTTATCTTTCAGAAGCTCAGCAACAGCTGTTTGTGAATCGCGAGTTTGGCATTGACGATGAAGATAAAAATTTAATTTAGGTTGCAATATTTCAGATAACCGACCTTGCTTCCTGTAAATAATAAATTTCTTGCAATGTTGCCGCGGGAAAATCATAAGAAAGCTAGAACAATTTAAATTGTACAAACGAATTTTGTTGCTCCCTCGACTTTTGCTGCAGGTCCATCTTATGGCAAGATCGAAATGCGAGAAGACCACAAGTTATATGAGACTAATTCGCCAGTGGAGGAGATGAAGTTAGTTGGTCGTCCATCTCAAGATCCTGCCTGTTTACCTGATGATTATGTACCTCGAGGAAGCTATGAAACCCTTTCATGCAAAGAAGGAAAAAGCATGGGGAAAGTCGGTGGGCCCTCTCATGAACAAGTGGGAATACATCTTTGCTCTTCAGGAAATCTTGGCATACAGGACGCAAGCTTTACAATTCAACCTTCGGATGGTACGTACTCATTCTTGATTCTTTCAGTGTTAAGTAATAAAAAAAGCTCATGTGTAACTAAACTGTCATAATACCCTCTTCCCGTTTGCGTAACGTAAGAGAACAAAGTTCTTTCCATGCACTCCTGAGAAGAGGAGATGGAAATCAGTCAAATAGCCTCAAATTCAACTATGGCTAAACGGGTGGGGTTTACTTTTCATGCCAATTTGATATTTTTCTCTACCCTCCGCAACAAGGTTCGGAAGGATACCTGCACAGAAGGAAGTGTAACAAGAGATCGTTTTCAATTTCAAGGAAATCTCACTATAAAATGGTAAGCTTATTTTGAATTAGGACAGTGGTATGTAGCTTGACAGCTCTTTACGCGGCCTCAGGTTGCTTGTTGATGCAGGTTTAAAGACCGCAAAGATAGCCTTTCTGCAGTCAAATATTTGTATGCGGGCGTTAAATTGAAAATGGTTGTTAAACTGTGTCAACCCTCTTTACCGGTTAAATCTTGCAGAGTCACGGGGCAAGAAGCCGGCAAGAAGTCTTAAGACTTGTTCAATGTTTTGTTATCTTTTTAATTTTTTTTTAATTCTGCGAGGGGTTGGTAATCTCAATCAAATGACAAGGGTTGTTTGGATTTTCCTTTTAAACATTACATTTCCATCACGTTCAAGTAAGAGTTTTCACCAGGATCGGTCTCGAAGTCCGCACTGGAAACAGGGCTTACAGCAGTTATTTTAGCATTATTTGTGTTGATTCACTACGGGCTACAAATCAATTTCGGCTTGAATAAGGAAGCCCTTAGTTTTATTGTTTAGGCACTTAGGGATATTGCTTTAAATAAAGTCTTAGACTGTGTATGCATACAACTTGCCGTAGTTTTACACGTGATAGTTTCTGAATATATCACTTTCGCCTCAAGCGGATGGGACTCATTTTGGTGTTCTAAAGAAATTAATCATCTCACAGAGACAAGATGCAAGCTAATGCCAAAATATGAGCGAAACTTTTAAATGTCATCACTTTAAAATCTTGGAACACGAATGTTATTAGACGCAATGAGAAAAAAAATAACATTCTCAAAAGCTAGCTCGAAAGAAAGAAAAAATGTTGATGTTCCATTGCAGAACTCTCCACTACGTTTTCAGTGGCCCCAGGAACTCGTTGAAATAGATTGCTCCTCACCCTCAGTACATTCTCTCATGGAATTAGAAGAGAGTTTGTCATGCGTTTCCGCAAACGAGCTTGCGACTGGGCGGGATGTTATTGATCATTCCAACCACCCGAACAACTTCGACGTCCACGAAAATCAAAACAAAGGGGAATCGCGTTGCTCATTCATGAGGAATAACCGAGTCACAATAATTTCATTTGTGGCGGTGTTTGTAATTACTGCGATTGTACTTGCAATCTTTGCTCTCGTTATAGGTAAGTGGGGTTACTTCTGCGTTTTTTAACAAAATATTTAAGGGAGGAGTTCCACGTGACTACAGGATTAAAAGTGATGTTATTGCGCAATGCATTTGCATCGGACAGAAGAACAGAACGTAATATTGTTGTTCGAAGCTCCCGTGTTCCTGACTCACTAATAGATCTTTTGATATTTATGTAAACCATCCTGCAAATGTTTTGCAGTTTTTTCATACTTCCATTGACACCAATTGAGCATAATTTAATAACAATACGACTCTAATCGCTTGCACGGCTGTGGGATACTGGTGAAAACGAAACTAGAACAATTCTATTGAGTTAATCGCTGTACCTTACGTTTCAGGGAAAGAAAAGAGCGCTTTTCCGACCCCAGAGGTAAGTGAGAGAATACATTTTGGATCGTGTTTGCCTGAACATATACGAACAACTTCAATTTCTAAATTGCTATTGGGATAGCAACCTGACTGAAGTCACCTGTAACATGTGAAGGGAAAACCTTTCGGCTAAATTTGGTCTTTGTATTCCACACATCTTTGGTAAAAATGTGAATCTACGTGAGGGCGAGGAGAGAAAATGTGTTCTAAGCTTTTGAATAAGTACAGTATGATTGAGGCATTTTGGGTGTTGGTTTTCCTTTAAAAAAAGAAAAAAAATTTTAATCTTATTTCTACATTCTTTGCACTGAGGAAACGAATTCATTAAAAGTTTTCACAGTAACAAATGTGACAATGAGAATATCTTCAACCAAAATCTATCAATGAAATATAATCTGCATGATTATGACCACAAAATTAGCGTCACGCGTTTCAATTTGAGCCAAAGGTTCCCACTGAAATAATTTTAGCGGCGATAGGTCGAATCTCACATTGAATACAAACACCACGACGTAGAGTTAAATGAGGTTATTCTTTAATGTGGTCCAACACGTAAAAACTGAAACAAGGATGCAATAACCAAGCTAAAACTTAACTATAGCTTAATCGATTCAAGGCACGATAAGTAAAATCGCTAGCCGATCCGAATGATAACCATTATAAAAGAAAAAAATTACTATATATCGCGAAGTATACATGAAGTAAGAGTTAAAAGGAAGTAAAATGACAAACAACGTTAGAGCGATTACAATAAGTAACATAAAGGGCGTACCTCTATCTCGATCTTGGGGCGAAAACGTGCTCGAAAAACCAAACAGAAACGATAAATCTACAAAAACTTTGGGTGCTATCGTTTTGTAATGGAGCACCGTCCAAATATGAAAGCACGAGGTCTGCTCTATGCTTACTGCGCATGACGTGACGTGACCAAAACTTAAGTAACGCAAGGGTAACGCTACAATAATGGTGAAGTTATCAAACTATGACAGTATCTATTCTTTCCTGTACATGAAGCACAGAAAAGCTGTGACTAAATAATTTCGTTTGAAGGCGAGACACAAGACCTAATTTTTAAAGTTGCAGCGAGTTTGGGAAAAGTGTTGTGATAAGATCATCTCGGATGGATGTCGAAAAAGGCGTAAGAGTTGCCCGAGGCAATAGCCGAGGGCAACTCTAGCTTCTTGAGTCCTCTCCAAACTTCCCACGTGTTCCATAACTCGATAGTGCACAGCTTAGGCACGAACCAATTGTTTAAGAACATAGCCGGTGGAATTTTGCATAAAATCCGACGCTAAAAACGGATAACAAATCAAGTGAAGCGAATCGTTGCGGCGCTGATGCCGAGTCTCCTTTTCCGTTGTTTTGTTTTGTTTTTTATCTTTTTGCCTCATCTATGAACTCTAGCCCAAGAGAAAAGGTCGGAAAATTGTCTTCGTTTTGGGAATAGTGAACCCTGTCTTTGTAAGTATCCATTGTTGTCGCGAAATACTTTCCCCCGCGCTAACAAAGGCCGCTCGCACGAAAAAAAATTTTATCTGGCGAAGCGATTTGCTCACGCTATCAGGGTGCACTATCATGATTTACGCTTACGTATACTGAATTTAATTGCGCGGCTCTGCCAGCTATGTTTTAAATATATATAGTATATAAACTTTACGTACGCGCGTCATAGAAAGTGCGGCGTACGGGTCTGTACTGAATTAACTGAAAACTGCATTCATCTTAACCAATCCGAACTGCGAAATTTTTTCATGTAGATTATTAGTATAGGTAATCAAATAATTTCGAGTGCAATTTGGAATAAATAATCACGAGTAAATTTTTTCAAAGACTTACAAAATTGCATGAGCTCATAGACCACTTTCATAAATGGCTGCCGGATTAGAATTCTTTTGTTTACATATAAATTTGCCAGGGTGGCCTCGTTCTCCAGTACAAAATTCAAAAGAATATATTATCTCAAGCGAGGCCACTTGGGCAAATTTAAATTTAAACAAAAGAATATTAATCCGGCAGCCATTTATGAAAGTGGTCTATG